CTTTATTTAAAATCCGGACAGAACTTATGGGATGACCTGATACAACAGATAACCCCAAACAGGCTATAGGAATTAACTCCCGAAGCCACCTGGTTAATGTAATGGGTGATAAATCCAGGGACACAGCAGGATCTCACTAAATAAAAAGCCGGTGCAAAGGGCCCTAAACAGTTCCGTACAAGCCACAGAACAACTAAGTGCTCTGACTGTACACAAAAGATCTGGGTATGATAGAGTGTAAAGATGAGAAATGCCTGAGAAAAAAGAATTTATTCCCTTCTCTGGCAGCGAGTGTTCAGTAGGAAGGATCTGTCTGGATAGAGCAAAAAAATAGGTGGAAGGATAGAGTCTGCTGAATAGGGATGGCAAATAAATCAGAACAGCTATGTCTGGAATCTAACAACAATAGAAATACACCTCAAAGGAATGGTGATACAAAGAACAGCAGGCCATAGGTTTGAAGGGATAATGTGATAATACATGAAAAGACAATTCTAAAGTCCCAATTAGGCAACTGAAACAGTTGTTTGAGATGAAGAATATGAAAGGATCATAAAGCGAGAGAGCACAGGAGTCAAGAACCTTCGTATACATAGAAGAGCAAAAGGGAACAGCGAAGGATGTTGTATATAATACAAGGCAGAAGCCAAACCTTTCAAAATTCCATGTCAAAAAACTTCAAAGTATGGAGACTGTTGAATGAAGCTGGTTGAAGGCTCCTGGAAGACACCACTGACAATATGTAGTCCATTTCCATTGATAGATTGCCATAGTAGGTTGATGGAGGATATGGTCAAATAAAAGGAAACTGTAGAATTTAAATCCCTATGGTTTGGCAAAGGACTACATAATTTCCTTGCATAAAGCTGGAGTCATTAAACGTTCAGGTCTTGAATGTTGGACTGAGTTAGTCTCAACCAAGATGAATGAAGAAGTAGTGTAAACAATCCTGGAGCAACTGAAGAAGAGGAAACCATGTCTGAGCAGGCCAAAAAGGTGCTGACAAGAGAACCCAACATGGGGTGAAATGAATCATAGATAAGAGTCTGGGTAAGAGATGAAGAGGAGGAAAGAAATGGAATCCTGTCCAGTCTTGATTGAAAGCATTTACTGCCCGAACTTGTGGACGTGGAATTGGAGACCAGAATGGTAGGCTAGCATTCCAATGGATTGCAAAGGTGTCAATCACTGGAGAGCCGAACTAAGAACAAATCCATTGAAAAACCACCTGATGGAACATCCATGCTGGTGGAAGAATCTGATGAGGTCAAGAAAGATGATCTGCTATCAAAATCATAACCCCTGGCACAACAGGCTAAAATATGAATGTCATTGGAATGAGCTGAAAAAGAAGATCCAATGCCTGAAAACCAAGACCTCAAGAATGAGAACTTCCCTAACGAGAAAGATATGAAACCACTGTGGAGTAGTCAGAATGAATCATGACCATTTTGTCTTGCATGAAAGGAAGACCTAGAATCATTGCCAGATGTAATACAAGAAGTTTGAGAATGTTGATATGCAGGGTAGATTCGTAGTCAGTCCAAATACCCTGGAATGCCTACCCCAGAAGGAAGGCACCCCATCCATGAGAAGATGGATTTCCACACGAGGAGGTGGTATCCAGACCCTTATATTTGTGTTGTTCCTGTCTAGCCACCACTTGAGATCTGCAAAATGTTCAAGCAAAGAGACTGTGTGATCCAAAGGATCAGTATGCATGAGCCACCGGCAGGAAAATGACCACTTAAGGGATCTCATATGGGCCTGATCCAATGGTATGAGAGATTCTAGGGAAGCCCAAGTCCCCAAAACAGACAGAACCATCCATGCAGTGGGTGATTGTGACATAAGCAAATGCCTGACAATCCCTTCCCTAGCATAAAGTCTGAGAGGAGAAGGTTAAGCTTGACTCAAAATGCATTGAAAAACACCCCAAGATGGACCATGTGTGGAGTTGGTGAGAGAATGGATTTTTCCAACCTGATATGAAGTCTGCCCTTCTGGCTTCAGAAAGGAAAATCTGTGGATATAGTGTGGCAACATGACAGGTTGGTGCCAAAAGAAATCAATCTTCCAAATAACAATGTGTGCACAGACCCAGAAAATGAAGATGCCGCTCAAGGGCCCATACTACTCGGCAAAAAACATATAGTGCTGAAGCAAGTCCAAATGGGAGGGTTAGGAACTGCTACATCTGGTCCTTGTGCAAAAAATGTAGATATCAATGAAAAGACTCTGCTATGGGGATGTGAAGGTAGGCATCTGTAACATCAAACTTGGTCATCCAAAGATCTGGTGTGAAGTGCCATTGAAGTTGAAGTAAAGATTCCATGGTGAAATGATGAGACTGTAAGAAGAGACTGAGTCGAGACAGTTTGATGATAAGATGCCAATCTCTAGTGTTTTTTATCACCAGAATAGATCTCCAGATCACGAGAATAGAATCCTGGATGAACAGGATTGACCTTCTGAATGGGTAGACACAGACACTACTGGTGCCATCCCAACCTTCCAAAAAACCCCTGAGAATACAAACAGAACTGATTCTGTAAACCAAAAAGACGAGGTGTTAAAGGTTGGGGCCGCGAGACGCGAATTATCAATCCTCCAGAATTACCAAGTGGAGTACAAGAGAGGCGAGCAGCCAACGACGATAAATAAAACTCCAAACATGCTGTATAAAATTGGGCTTTGAATGTTTCAGGGACTCCAGCAAATTGGTAAGGCCAAAAAAGGGTGCCTCCCAGAAATCATGAAGAGGAGTATCAAAATACAGTAATAAGAGTTAAATGAATCCATGAAAATTGAGATCTGGTAAGAAGGATAACATGTTCTAACCTGGAACCACAAAGATCCAAAAACAAATCCAACTGTTGAGTGTCCAAGTATACTACAGCCAGATGATGATAAGCCAGGGCATGTTGTTCTGATAAATGAGGGGAGTAAGGCATAGCAATACTCTATCATAATTGAATTTGCAAACATCCCAGCATACATGGCAATATCAGGGGAAGAGGAAGAACTAAGTAATCCCCCCTAGATCTATCTGACAACAAGGCAGGGTAGACTCAAAAGCAAGGTGGTGAATCCCCAAAGCTTCACAAACTCGCATAACTAACTGCAGAAAAGAGGAAGAAGGTGGCTGATCAGATGAGCCCTCAGTAGAGGCAGACCAAGTAAAAGAAGGAGCAGAAAACAGTGTCTAAATTCTCCCCGGTATATTCAGGTTCATGATGAAAAGCCAACTCTGAACCCCCGGGTAAAACCCCCACTTGTCCCGAATAAGGTCATGGACAGCCTCCACCAACAGTGGAACCCACTCACCCCCAAATGCCAGCTACCATCAGACAACAAAGGTGGAATGGACGAGGTCTGGTTAACCCCCATGCCAGAAACCGTTACATGGGAATTCATCCCACATTTTTTTCTCTCTTGGAACTGCAAAAAAAAACCCAACAAAATATTGGTAATGGGAAAAAAAAACACCAGACTACTGTCAAAATGCTTCTAAAGAAAATGTTAACTACAAAACATAACTCCTAGCAATAGCACTTTGTCGAGAAAAAGTTATTATATTGTCGACATATAGTGCTTATATACAGTAACTGCATAGAGGAAGCGTGAGGGCCAGTGTAAAGTTTTGCAAATTAGATATTGCCAAGGGCAGTTGAGTGAGGTATAAAGATTGGAGCAATCAAACAAGATGTTTAGATGGCAAAGATGAAGATCGAGAAATAGCTATAAGTGTCTGCGGAGGTATGTATGTATGTTTTGGAACTACTATCTCCCTCTACTTATAAAAAAAAAAGTGTGAATTGCAGAGTATAATATTTTTGGTGTTATGATGCCTTAAAAATGTTATCAGCTAATCAATGAACTCACAGTTTTCAGCCTTTTATTATTAGGTTCCATAGACATTTCAACTTCTTGACACTCTTCCTCATCTTCAATTTCAGATTCATTATCATCACTTTCTTCATCATCATCTTCTTCTTCATCATCATCATTTTCAACTATGTTTTGATTTTCTTCAGTACTTAACATATCCTCTGAAGTAACAAGATCATCATCAAACACTGCTTGTCTACGCACTCTACCCATTTTAACATCTTCAACAGGCTCTTCCACAGGAAGTACTACACTGCAAGAATAAATTTGCAACACAATATACACACATTTTCAACATATTAGCACCAAGAGAGAAAAAAAGATAAAATCCCTACAGAATTTTAATAATACTCTGTATCTAACCATCAGCATAAGGAAGTTAAAAACAATATTGAACTAGAGCTGGGAAATTTAATTGATTAATCTATATAACTGATTACCTACAAGCAGAATTTACATTGATTAGTGTCATGTATCTAACTGATTAATCAAAATTAGGGTTTCTTATTATTACTCTGTTTTGGTTCTTCCATCAATCAACTGAACATATGAATCGAGTGTCAAGAAAATAATCTAGCTAATCAAAATTCCTGATTTTTTACTGTTTGTGATTATTCCAATTATCCAAGTAATTCAAACATTGATTTTTTTTGTTTTAATTCAAGTTTGCTCAGCTATAATGTTTGGGTAGGCCTTGTGATTTGCTAGTTTCAGATTCCATTCCCCTAGTCATCAAACTTGCTCGCCCTGTCTTTGTTATGGAAAAGCTACTAAGACTGTCACTAGTTTTGAGCTGCTGGCTAGATGGAAGGCAACTGGCTAACAGCACCTACTGCCAACCATTTTTTTACCACTGTACTAATAGATTAGTCAAATGCAACTTATTAATAGGACCATCAATTAATCAATGAGTAAACACCAAATTGTTATGGTAACATACAAACATGTATGATGATAAGAAGTGAAAAATATTAATTTATTACATTACATTAAGTTCATATGTTCAGAAGATGAAACTAGATCTTGGATTTTGCATCAAATCAATAACATAGCAAACTGGTGACAACCACACTACCTCTATGTTGAGTAACTGGTGGACCTTCGAGAGAGAGGTGCTGGAAGAACCACACCAGCTATAACTTGTCTAATTTTGTGTCTTGGAAGAACCACACCAGCTATAACTTGTACATATTTGTGTCTTACCTTGAAAACTCATCTGCAGTTAATGGCTTCGACTCACTAAATAAAGTGAACTGACTGGCAGCCATCTTTGAATCAATAGTCTGTTGTGTTTGAATCAATGATGTCACAAGTTCTTCTTCAGGCTGATTAGTGTCCTGTAGAAACATTAGTATACTCACTCAAGTTGAAGTAATGGTAAGTTGAAGAATTTAGAAGTCTCCTTTACTAAACTTAAATTATCACAAGTATAAAGTTACGTGCTATATCAAATAACATTTCTAATATAATATTTCTAAACAGAGAGTGCTGTAAGGTTTTGAGATTCTAATAAATGTTAAAATACAAATGTTTTAATGCACGATGTAACAAGAATCATATTGGGTAATGTAATATTTCAAATCATAAAACTTAGTTTTATAACCAACAGTTTATTAATAATTAATACTACATGAATTATAAATGATCATGCTGTTTAGAGACCAAAAGATTGTTAAAAGCACGTAAACACAAATACCAGTTAATAAATACAAGAAACTAAGTGCACAAACAAACAAAACATGAAACATTACTCGATTATGCTAAATGTTCAACACTCGTAGAAATAGATATACAAGTTTTAAATGTTCCACAATGAAGTAACCTTGCTAAAAACAGGTAGTTTGGTATTATTTGTATAAACTGTTGTTTTTAAGACATGAAGTCTATTAAAACTTATGACAAACTACAGTGCACATGAAAAAATTTAATACAGAAAAATCATACAACACAATAAAAATATCTTATCAATAGACTTCTTTCACTTGCTGTAAAACATAAATTTCCACATATATGGTATTTTTGAAATTTTATACAACTAAAAAAAACTACAAGTTTTGTATTATTATCAACAAAAAATAATTATTTTGCTAAATATAGCAAAATATATAATACAGTGACTAGTCACCTTTTCTCTATTGCCAACTGAAACATTTTTTTATGAAAACAATATGATAAAAATTCCATTTAATTTTATAAAACTGTAATGGCCACTGAAAATTCTAATAGTTTCCAGAACTTTCTTAACCTAAAAGACTGTCATCTTAATATAAGATTTGATTAGACGGACATGGTGGAATTAATAAATTCACAAGTATCACAAATAGACATGATTATTGACCAGCACTACTATGTTTACAAAGATACAAAAACTTGTGCTACTACACAATCTCAAGAAACGTTTCTCTACATTCACCAATCCTAATATAAAATAAAAAGTACCTCTTGCCTCTGAAGGTGGGAATGACTTCCCTTCAAATCAATATATACAGCATCTTTATCATACACAATTCCTCCAACTCCACTCATGGGTGCATATACGAGCCTTTCTTTTTCATTAAGTGAACGATGCTTTTCCTTGTCTGGGAGTGGGCAAGGGTCTGATAGAAAAGTGACATCTTTCAGTGAGAAATCTCCACATCCTGAAAAATAAATTTTTCTTCTTCTTTTATGCAAGTATATTATACCTTTATCCTAATTTAAGCTTTGTGTACGTCCAACAATGACAAGTTTAAGTACTGTGCTCTATGACTGATGTCAATTGTATAGAAATTATAAATGCTGCCAAAAAAAGTACAGAATTTCAAGCTTAAGATGCCTTGTTTTACTTCTAATCTTACTTGAAATTACTTACTTGGATTCTACAGCAAGCCATTTTTAAAACCAAGTTTTACTTGGAAAGCATAAAAGTTACTACTAAAAATTCAAAACTTGATCATTATTAATTTAGTTTTCATACAGTCATGCTTTGTTTCCAGTGATTCAGATGAAAGCTTTGATAAAAATACTCTTAAACAATAGTTTCAGCCACTACACAAAAACTATTACATTTTTTTTATCACAGTACATCTAACTGTGCAAAAAAAGTTAACAAACTGAACTATCGGCAAATTTTATCAGCGGAAAACTTGTATCTAAAATTTTATATTTTGGAATAAAATAATTATAGAAATTTACCAATTTCTATTGTATTAAATAACAAAAGAAAACAGAGGAGATTTATTTAGCCTACAATGGTAAAAAACATGAAACAACCATGAAGGATGGTAGAAAATATGAAACATCCACGAAGGATGATAGAAAACACGAAACATCCACGAAGGATGGTAGAAAACATGAAACATCCATGAAGGATGCCAAAGAAATAATAAAGACAAGTAAACAACATGAGTAATACATTAATCAACAATAAAAAACTGATCTTAAAAAATGTTCAAATAGTCAATATAACCTGGGATATGGATGGCTGAATGGTTTTTTAATGGAGCACCTCTTGTGTACCCATACAGACAAACTGTTCTATCACACTTTGAGTTCTTTCGACATTCTTCTGGGTCTGTCAAGTCTTCCATTCTGAAATATTCATCACTTCAGCTTTAAAACTCAAAGATTACTATATATTTTAAATGATTAATACATACAAAACTTTAAAAAAACTGAAAATTCCAAATGCTTCAGGAACTATTACATTTTATAGAAAATACAATAAGTATCTAGAACATAGCCTATCACAGATTACTATCCATTTTCAGAGAAAATAAATATTTGTACTATATGAAGGTATGATAAAACATTTTCACCAACCAATTTTCTAGATACCAGGTTATAACTAAAAAATGTCCTTATAATAATTTTAACCTTCAAATTATCAACTTGTTTTGAAACTGTTCATTACCTGTAGGGTTCACATATTGCATCAGACTTAATAGCTTTATGTTCTGCTTATTCAACACTTAGCGTAAAAAATATTTCCATTTATTCAACATTGTTAATGTGTAAGAAACCATTAAAGTACAACATACAATACATGCATAACTAGGGTTGAATTTCAGTTTGATCTGTAATTTGTGAGAAAAGCTACAACCCATAACCTTTCTATAACAAAATAAGTGACTACTAAATGAAAGTGGAACTCATGTATATAATGAATAATTAATATGACAAGTATAAGCAAAAGTACCCATTTACTGGAACAACAACTTACTTAAAAATTAAATAGCCAAGTTAGAGAATCTTATGGTTCAAATACAACTGTCCCTAATTTTGAGCTGCAGGCCAAAAAAAAAGACAATTAGTCGGCCATACCAACCTCCTGAAGTAGCTTCCTTTAGCTTAAAATTATGATTTACTGTCACTCTTATAGTATATCTACAGTTAAAAGTACAAAGCATATTTGGTAGCACCACATCTCAAACCCACAAATTCTGGAAATCCAATTCAATGAGCTAACCATCAGGCCATGCTTGGACCACCTCCTTGGAGAGTCAGTGTGTTCACCACTTGCCATTCATTCTTTTTGTATTCTTTGCGGCTACATGAATACCTTTTAAAAATACATCTGAAATGAACTCATAAACCTTCCAGACTTAGTTACTCTCTAGCTTTCTTACCTATCTACAAGAACATGAGGATGTGTTGTTCTCCACTGTAAGGGTCGAAACTTCATAACAGAGATAAATCGTCCTAAATTGTGAATCTCAGTCTTCAGGTATTCCCCTCGTATCATACCAGAGAGATAAAAAAGTTTAGCACCCTGAAAAATAAAAGAAAAAGAAAGATATAATCTAAAAAAAAAATGTATATAAAACATAAAAATAATGCTTTATTTTACAGGGCAAACAACTCCATAAAGCAACATCGTTGTTACAAGATCTATCATAATTTTGAAACCTGAGATGAAAGCTTGCAATAACAATAATTTCATAAACCTAACTTTGCATTCTCAATTAGATAAGTAAACAGATTTAAAGACTTACTTTTATTGCAATGGGAAGAGTTACAGTGCTTAGTTTTTCAAATTAAATCACAATAACTTATTTTCAGAAAAGAATACCTCAAAATCACGAGTTCATAAATTGGGTGAAAATTTGTTCGCATAGATTTTAACAATGTAAACACTAAGTACAATTAACAAATACTTATTGAAAAATCAATATCTAAAACTCGTGAATACTTGACAACTGTGATACAAAAGAATAAACTCACTTGATAAATTTCTGTCCAGAATCGATGTTTCATTTGTTTCTTGGTCTTCTGTAAGGTTTTTTTGTTGCGAAATAAGTCCAAATGTGTGAGTACACCCATTATTCGAGGGAAACCGTGTACCTGGCATATGTTAAGAAACTCAAAAGTCTCCATCTCAAATCCGAAGCTGGCATCCACTAGTAACAGAACCTAATATATAGAGAGAAAACACACATGGGCTTAATGCCAGGTCTGAAACCCCTATTGTTCAGATATAACCATATCTAATTTACATCTGTAACCAGAGAGAGGGCAACCAGTCAACAGTACCCACTGATGACCACTGTTTAACAGGCTGGTTTTTGAGGGAAAGATGATTATGCTAGATATTTTGGGGAAAATTCTAAAGAGCTTTATTAAATGTAGCCTAAATTAACGTTCAGTAGCAGTGAGGGAATTCTGGAAACAGGGAATAAAAATTAGTAGGACAGCTAGGGAATTGCTGATATCTGATTATACTTAGAGAACACTGATAAAAGAGATACTGTCTTGAAATCTAGGTTATAAGTTATTTAACAGTGATAGGCCTTGTGGATGAATTTTTTATGAGTCACAATAAGGAGTTTCAAAGACAGCAATTGTAAGAGGCCAGCTGATCATACAAGTAATGTCAACGAGAAACTTATAATGAGATCAGGACTGTTACTAATGAGAATATTGATGCAATAATCATGGGGACTTTTAATTTTACACACACACACAGAGTGAGATTGTATGAAGCCAAGTAGTGAGGTAGAGGGGTTTCTTGAAATGATTCAAAATGGTTTTCTACACCAGAGAGCCAACCAGAAGGGATGCCATTTTAGATTTACGGTTAATCACAAATAAGAATGTGGTTGAAATAGTTAAAGTGGGAGGAACATTTTGGGAAAAGTGATCATTGCAATTTAATTAGGTTTAATGTTTTGGTATATGTTGAAATAAATCAAATTAATTATAGTCCCTTATTTTAAAAGAGACAATTTTGAGGACATGAGACAAGATTTACCATTAATGAATTGGAATACTGAGAGAAAACTCTTTAGGTGATATGAGTGAGATGATGAAATTTTCAAAAGTTAAAATGCTTTCAATTCAAGACAGAAAAGTTCCCTAAAAAAATATAACATTAAACCTAATAAGCCTAAACAACCTATCAAAGATAAACCTAATAAGCTTACTAATGATATACAGGACAAAATAATGGATAAATACCATAAGTTTAAATTGAAAGATAGGATCAAAGATTTAAAGAACTGTAGGAAAAACTAGGGATTTGGTTAACCCTATTGCTACAGGTGGGTGGATGGCAAGGTTTTGGTTGAAAATTATGAGACAGCTGGGTCTTCAAACAGTTTTTCTCTCATTCCTGTTTTTACAAGTGTGTGTGTTTTCCAATGTTTTAAACATGCTTGCAATATTTCTAAACCTGAGAAATATTGCAACTGACCTAAGCCATTCAGATAGTAATCTGTTAGTGGTAAGTAGAAAGACTAAGGAATTAGTAACAGATAAAGAGGATATGCAAAATTAACTAGCCAACATAGATTCACTAAATAGAAATATTGCCTTACTAATCATTTAACTGTTTTTCAAAAATGTTTCTTATTATCTGGATGATGGAAAAGATGTGGAGTTGGTGTTCTCAAATTTTCAAAAGGCTTTTGACAAGCGACCACACTGAATCTTAGCTAAGAAATGCACATCAATGGGGTTGGAGAAAGACTAGTTAATTGGACTGTGGAGGCTGAATGTGAAAAAAAGTCAAAAGTTGTTGTTGTTGTTAATGAAGTACAGTCAAACTGGATCTTTGTTACTAGTGTGCTTCAGGGATCAATATTTAGTCCTTTACTTTTTCTTATTTACATTGATTATACTGATAGGAGCTGAAGTAAATTAGTCAAGTTTGCTGATGGCATTAAACTATTTGGTATTTCTAGCTGAACTGAGAATTTTGAGGTATTATAGAATGGCTTAGATCAATTGATAAGTTGGACAAATAGTTACAAAACAAACTTTAATTGCAGTAAATGTAAAGTAATGTATTTGGGTTATTATAATTTAAATCTTAAGTTTAATACAGATGGGAACCCACTCAATAGTCTGACTGATGAAAAGAATCTTAGCATAGTGGTAAGTAATTCATTCAAGCCATCAAGGCAGTGCTCTGCTGCCAGCAATGAACCAAGTTTTATAGACATTCTTATTACAATTCAAAGGAGGCAATTATCTCTTTAATAACTTACTTCCTCTTAAGGAAAGAAGAGTAAGAGATGATATTAATTAAGTTCATAAGATTATCCAGGGCCTGAGAGGATAAAGGCCTTTGATTTCTTTGTGGTGTATTCTGAATACAATAGGATGAGAGGATGCAACTTTAAATAAAAAAAAGACAGTTTTATTTTACTAACAGAAAGATTAGCTTATGTAATAAGTTGCTGTCAACACCAGCAGAGATCAGTTTAAAAGAGTATAAAAATAAAATTAATTATTCCCTTAAATATAAAAGGTGGTTTTAATTTCTATTTCTGCTAAGAGGTGAGTGTACAAGGACAACTTTGAATGACCAAACAATCCCTTGTTGTTCATATGTTATGTTATATGAAATGGCAGGATTAATTACGACACTAATAATGCCCCAACAGCTGTAATTGTAGCACATGTAAAGCACCACATCATGGCTCAAGCCTTAGACCTTCTGATCCACTGAACCCAATACACTAACCACAACACTACAAAACTAAAGGGTAGTGGCAACACTGAATGCACAGCTTAGAAAACAGATGCACATCTATATTCAAAATTTAATACAAATATATACATTCACTTAGTTTCATATTAAAAACTAATTCATAAATGAATTAAATATATTACTATGCCTTACACAGCTGTACTACTAAATTTAGAAAATAAAATGTGACAAAAGTAAAAATCTACTTGAGTAGAGCTACGTGAAGCCAGCCAAATTTATTACGCTCAATTTCTATGGAACTTTATATGAAAGTGAAACAACGTTATGCAAGTTAAACAATATAGTATATAAATAGGATGAAGAAAAAATTAAAAAGTCACTGGATCCAAGCACAAGACAAGATTCCCTTACTAGATGCTGTTATCCATATGTGCAGGTCAGATGTTAATTCTCTGAACTTTGAAAAGACCTACACACAGATAAATTTATAAAAAACATAAAAAGATGTTTGTCATCATTACAGAAATGGAAAGACATTGTGATTCAACCACAAGATGATGAGGGGAGAGCTGTCCTTGTTTGGAAACATGAGTTATACAGCTGATTGGTTTAATCAATTAATTGATATAACCAATTAACTAAGGTAACTACACTTGATGGGAACTAAATAAAAATGAAAAATACGTATTGAATGTGAAAACATTTATTAGAATCATTCAAAAAAGGATACCAATAAGTATAAGAAAATATTAGATCAGGAACTTAAAAATATAATGGAAAAAGAAAATGGAAAACAAATCAAATTTATTATAAGATTCTAGAGAACCCTAAAATAGGACAAATCAGATGTGACACAATAGTAAACAATGGTTTTGCTTTTAAATCATTGAATCACGATAAAGAAGAAATTACAACAAACACTGGAACTAATCATAAAAGTATAGAAAAATTTAAACCAAATAACAGTAAACAAAAAATAGATCTTAAAGCCAAAAAAATCATTAAAAGAAAAAAATATATAATCAAATTGTAAAGCAGATAAAAGGGGATGAACTGTTATAATTAATAAGGTGACTATGACAAATGGAGTTGAGAATATGTTGAAAAAAGAGTACATATGAAAAGCTTAAGAATAACTCTGCAGATAAATATTATGAAAAAATCAAAATAAGTGTTAGAAATTGTTTAAATCTAATTCCCTATGAGAAAAAATGTTTAGTACCAAGTAGTTTCATTGCCCCAAAGTTTTATGCAGTGCCAAAAGTTAATAAAATTTTTAGACCCATAGTATCAAGTGTAGGTACATCATCCTATAAAATAGCTAAGTTTATAGCTCAAAGGTATTCTTTTTTGAGAGATAAGAGCAAATATACAGTTAAAAATTCAACAGATTTTGTATAGAAAATTAAAAAAGTTAACTTACAAAAACTGAAGACCTCTTTTATAATTTGATGTAATATTGTTATTCACCAAAACTCCAACAAAAGAAGCTATTAGATGCTTCGAAATAAATTAGAATTTCAGCAGTTGAATTTATAAATGTACTGAACTTTACAAGTGTGTGTGTGTGTGTGTGCATCCTTTACAATGTTTGAAAATGAAAAGTTAGGTAAAGCAATGTCCCAGCCAGAGATTTGTATAAGGTGTGTAGATAACACATTCTTGGTATGGTGGAATGGCAACAGTAAATGAAAAGAATTTGCTAGTTATTTAAATATCATAGCATCATCATTTCAATTTACCTATGAAAATGAACAAAATAATAGTCTACCTTTACTAAATGTACCTGTCAAAAATTTTATAAATGGTAATTTAATAATATTTATTTATACAAAATCTTTTTGCTGTTGTCATGCCACCACACCAAGAATCATATCATAAAAAAAAAACTTCCTGCATTTTAAACTTATGTTTACAAATCATTCAAATTTTGTTGAATGAGGCCGATGTCTGTAGGTTTACTTTCTTCTTGAAAATCTTCTCAAGCAGTCGATAAGCCATTTTAATGTTGTTAGAACAACGGGCAAAAGTTGTAGATAGTACGGTAGTACTTAATGATAATAGTAGGGATCAGGATGAAACAAAATTGTGGCCATAAAAATAACCCATTTAAAACCACCTTTAAAATGTCTGAATGTTAAAAATGACTATTTCATAGTATTGGGTGAGCAAAACTAAATCTTATGTATTTATAAAGCTGCCTAAATCACTATATATATATGTTTTTGGCCTAAATCACAATTTTGCCATTTCAACGAATGTTTATGTTAGTAAATAAGTGATTTTTCCAGACAAGTGTACAGAAAAAATGACAAACCTTGTCACTCTAATTCTCACAGAATTCTTCTGTAAATAAGTAAATAAGTGACTCTTCCAGACAAGTGTACAGAAAAAATGACAAACCTTGTCACTCTAATTCTCACAGAATTCTTCTGTCTGGGGTGCTAATGATTCCTTTCTTGTACCGGAAAAAAGACACTAGTATCCATAGACATAAACCACAAAAATCTGTGTGTCTATCTGTCCATTATCTAACTACTCCTAGGTCACAGGGCCAATCTCAACCGAACTTTGTGGGATGATAGTTTGGAACAAGGGGCACGTTAATGGAGGGTTTACAACCCATTCCACTCCATTATTGCTGTTATTGTTCATAACCTGGACAAAGGACGGGTACCTTAGCTTGTATATATATAAAACAGATGATGTGCTACTTTGGACTTATAATTAGATTAGAAGGTAGGTTGGTAGAGATCCTGATGAGTAATAAAATTGAATTGGGTGTACACACGCCCCACGCTTGGTATTGCTGGTGCACAAAAATATAGCTAATGAAAAGGAAACAAACAAGTACAATAAAAATTTCAGTTTTATAAAGACAAGTAGGGATTTGATATATACATAACATAGCTAGCTATAGTAATACAGAAAGTTTTAATGCTACTAAAAGTATTGAAACAAGAAAGTGAAAATTACAGAAACTAAATTACTTAAAATTTAAAAAATTTTACCCCTACTCTGGCTCAGAGAAACATAATTACAGTGACTTGTGAAAGTAGGGACAAATTTTTTTAAATTTTAAGTAACTCAGTTTTTCTAGTTTGACTTTCTTGTTTAATACTTTTTATAGCATTAAAACTTTCTATATTACAAAAGCTAGCTAAGCTACATATATGTTGATCCCAACTTGTCTTGATAAAATTTAAAAATTATATTATTGTACTTGTTTGAATTAACTTTACTATTATTCACAAGAACTGACACACCAGCAAGCTAGTCTTTTTTTTCTCGGAACAGGTCAAACAACCACAGTGTCAATGGAACAAAAATACATTAGTATTAAGAATTCATAAGTGAAAGCAGAGGAAAGCATATTATGTTAAACATGCTACTTCTGCTATATCCAGTGCTGATGAGGCCTTTCTTCCAGTACCAGGGCTCATCAGGCCAGCTAGGATAAGACATAGTAGTAGTTTAGGCACGATATAATGTGTTGTACAATCTGTGCATAACTAATAAAAGTAAAGTTTGAATCTTACTGAGATACATAAAACTTTTTTTTTCAACTGAAAAAATAATAATCCATTTAAACTTTATTTTATATTATGAAAAAAATTTTAATTTTTATGAATTCACAATTATATATTACAGCACTTAAATGAAAATGTTCTTTTTAGTATCATTTCAGAAATACAAAATCTTGTGATTAATGTATATTGCTAGAAGTCTGATTGTCATTAATTAAAACAAAAATTAAAGATAGTAATGACATTAAGAATTATACTCAGTTTTAATGTATAATCCTTTATCCAACTACAGTAGAAGTAGCAAATCATAGAATAGGTTAAGCCTTTACATCATCTTTTTTTCATTGAAATCTACATTTTGGTGATGAAAAAAAATATTCACAAAATGTCTATATTTAGATGACAGAAATAATTTAATTTCCTAACACTTTTGTAACAAATAAAAAAAAACTTAACTACTCAAAAGGCTACATTTTTCATTATGATGAAATTCACTAAATCTTAAAAGAAAACCTGTAAGCAACACTCACTAAATCTGCAACTTTTGCTGTGTCAACCATGGCATTGATATCATTATTGCATTCGATGAGTGTGAGTCGTCTTTTCTTACCTAAAAATATACATAACTATAATTAATATGCATTGACTCAGAGGAAAGTGGTGTGAAATCGAATTTCAAAATCACATTTACTGCTAAAATTCATTATACTACTACATTAAATAACTCTATAGTAACTGCAATTTTAGATTCAGTAAGTAAAAATAACAGCAAATGAATGACCCAAATATACCAAATTTTACTGCTTAACATTCACGACAGCTAAAACCCAAGTAAATTCGTACACCCAATTTACTAGCTCTCTGATTGGCATTACTACTGAACAATAGAAAATTTTACAGCACTAGTTATCATTTAAACTGCAATCTTTTTTAACTTAATGGTCTACTTTGTTATTCCTTTAAACTACTTCTTAAGAAGAATCTTTCTACTTGCTTAAATTAGTCTAAAACATAATTTCATTAATATTTTTAAATTGATTCACGATACTAAGAAACTATGTAGGTAAACAAACACATAAATCACAGTACAAGAAACTCAATAACCTGAGCATTTTTAGAATAAAAAACTCCCTTCTTTAGAGATGAATTCTGTTTCGTCAAACTTATTAGTTATCAGGTTTTTTTGCATTATGATTTTTGACCAAAGAGCCTTTGATATCCATATAAAGAATTTACAAAACTATTTGTTTCTAACCACTTTCTACTTTTGAAATAAAAAACTTAAAAATAATGAATTAAGACAACTTTCACACAAAATATTGCACTTCATGAAAAATTACAGACAAAAAAAAAACTTTTCCCTCATAAAACTCACAAGTAGGGAATTGATATATATACATAACCTAGCTAGCTGTAGTAATATAGAAAGTTTTAATGCTACTAAAAGTATTGAAACAAAAAAGTGAAAACTACAAACTAGTTACTCTGGCTCAGAGTAACATAATTACAGTGATTTGTGAAAGTAGGGACAAGTTTCTTTTCTCATTGTGGGCTGGATACATATGCCACTGTATCTTAAAAATCTGATGTTTCCATGGAAGGAACTCGTGTTTAAATCAATATCTGATAGTGATTACACTTTACCAGCTTAATCTAGTTCACAAAATAATAGTTGTTCATGCCTCTTCAGCTCTGTATATAGCAGATATGGTGTATTTGGCATATTGTTATACTTTTTTTCATTACCTTTTCTTACAAGTTCTTAGAAATACTTGAACTAGATGATCAGTACAATGTTACTTAAGTACTAATGATATAAATGTTTTTTGTTTTGTGAAAATAATAGCCTAAAACTGTAAAATTACAGTCATAAGCATTTATTTATTTATTTATTTGAAAATATAATTTTAATGGTGAAATTTAGTTGAATGGACGGCAACTGCCTGTTGTAGAAACACAAATATAGAGGACGACGTTCCGAAAGTCTTCCGCCTTCTGAAGACGAAAGGCAGAAGACTTTCAAAACGTCGTCCTGTATACTTGTGTTTCTACAACAGGCAGTTGCCGTCCATTCAACTAAATTTCATTATGTATACTCTGCCTAAACAATCTATCAAAGAATAATTTTACTTTTCCAAAACAGCCCAACTCACAAACAACATATGTACAAAAAAAGGACACTTTTAAAATTACATTTACTATTTAAATGTTGTCTTAATATA